CTGTGTGAGTGTATTTGTGTATTTTTACATGATAGAGTATATATAAAGCCCTCTTATAATGGGAGAAGCATGTATATGTAACAAGTATCATACATAGTGTTAACAGTGAAAGAAAACAAACTGGGGGAAATGAGTGTAATTCGCCGATAAAAGGTCTTATCCTTAATATAGAAAAAGTACGTAATATCAATAAGAACAATACTAAAACCAACAGAAGATTGGGCAATGCCCAGGAAGAGGGGCATGGGCTGGGAGGGGCCCCTCGGGTGCTACCATATCTTCATCAGGGTGGTCGTTTTACAGGTGTGTTCAAAGGTAAAGTCACTGAGCCACACTCCTAAGTTTAGTGCCCTTTAGATGAAGAATGTAATGGCTAGGTAAAATGCAACAAAGCATATAAACCAAAATATAAACTTGAGAGGTCTTCGTCATCAGCTAAATGTGTGCTCTCTTTGTCCCCCAAACAATGAATGTAAGAGGACCGAAGTGAGTTAGAGACATAACAACTGAGTTATTTTGATGTATTCTGTGAAACAGCCCACCCAGATGACCTGCACTTCCTGTATCACAAACAATGATGCAATGATCAAGCAGCGGTACTCCTTTTCACTGATCCCATTAAACTGCTCTGTTGGCCATCCTTCCCCAACCTGCATGTAGTTTTGGGCCGGCACCAAAGTCTTGGAGAAACTTGAGGTACAAGAATTGTCTCTTCCATCAGAATGTCCAATTCAAAACATTGATCCAAGTTCCAGTTCAGTCCAGAATAAGACATTTCTTTCCTAGCCTAGCCTGGCCTGCTTTCAGCCTGGAAGCCTACCCAAAGGCCCCCCGTTCTTTCCCCAACACCTCCTCTCCACTTCTCGCTTTCCCTTCTTGCTTTCACTTTCCCATGTCAGGGCAGGTGGAGCTGGGCCCTGCTCTGGATATGGCAGGTGGACGGTGGCTAACTCCTATGGGGCACCTGGTGGGATTTCTGGAGCCCTCTCCACTGGAGACTGAAGACCAGCTCCCCTGACTCAGGCAATGTCTGGATCCTCTCACGCTCACATCAACCCGGTGTCTGGCACCCTCCGGTGCTCAATTCTTGCTAGTGAATGAATGAAGGAGGTGAGGGAAAAGAGAGGAAGGTAGCACTGCAGAGCCCTGAGGAAGCAGACACAAAGATGAAGGAGACAAGTCCTGTCTGCAGGGAACTAGGGCTCCTTGTTGGGGGATGAAATGTTCACCTCCTGTCCTTAGCTGGAAGGGATTTGGTCACACCCACCTACAGTGGACTTTATGTCTTTCTCGCTTCTTGATTCTATGTTGCCTTTATTTTATTTTATTTTATTTTTAAAGATTTTATTTATTTATCTGACAGAGAGACACAGCAAGAGAGGGAACACAAGCAGGGGGAGTGGGAGAGGGAGAAGCAGGCTTCCCGCTGAGCAGGGAGCCCGACACGGGGCTCAATCCCAGGACCCTGGGATCATGACCCGAGCCGAAGGCAGACGCTTAATGACTGAGCCACCCAGGCACCCCTCAATGTTGCCTTTAATCCTCCCTACATCCTTGGGGGAGGCAAGAGATGGATGGGTGTTCTCATTCTCAGAAGAGGATATTAACCCCCAGTGAGGCCGAGGGACAGAATCAGGCCCCACAGAAGATACAGTGGCAGAGCTGGAAGAACACGTATATCCCGACTCTGGGCTGCAGCTTCTGCTAACCCATAGACAGGGCATGTGGGAGGAACCCAGCCAGGCCTTGTGGCTTCACTTTCCACATGAAAGGCAACAAATGAGTGAAAAAGCACAACAAAATGAAGAGAAACTAGGGCAGAATGTATAACAGATGAAAACTTTTAGAATCAGAAAAAAAAAAAAAAAGGCATTCTAGCCTTAACCAAATACTTATTAAAGGAAAGCCTAGAAGTTTCCAGAATGGCGTTCTAGCACACATTGCAGGGAAGGAGTTGAGGGTGACATCCTAGGGAAATTTTATTTCTCTGGAGAACCAACACTCATAATTCTCCCATTCTATTTCTCCTGAATTAAGTTCAGGGTCGTATCTGCCAATATTAGTTACCTTCGATGAGAAGTGAGAAATAGATACATGATATGTAATATTTTTTAGAAGACTCAATTCTCTAGATTTTTGGGGGACAAAGCTACATCTTGTCACTTCCCTGAGGCTTTTCTGTTTTCAGTAAATTGAAGTGGTAGTCTTGGTTGGTCTACCATGTGATGGAGAAATGCAACTGTCAGCATGTTTGGCTGTATTTTTGAAAAGATTACAACTTCTTACTCATTTTTTTGGAAAAGTTATTAATTAAAAATAATCAGGTTGCCACAATAATGTTACAGTCTTCCTTAATGGACTCAACCTGCACAAAGTGAATCAGATAATGAAAAATCCTATTGTCCAAGTCCTTCATTTTGTGAGGTGAAAACCAAAGACAGCAACGATGAGGGTTAACTAGCAGAGTTCTTTCTCTCTTTATGCACCATGGCGGTCAGCTTGCTTGGGGTCCGTCAAGCCAGGGGCAACCCCCACACCTCCTGGGAGCTAAACTGGCTCAGGCCATGCCAGGGTGATGGAGAACTCACGTAAATGAGGAAGGGGACAGGATGTGCACACGATGAGGTTACACCAGGACAATGGGAAACCAACCACAGATCCTTAAAATCTACTCACACATTTCAGGGAAGGTAAGAAAAGACAAAGGAGTGAGTGGTAAGAGCTTCCTCTGGCACATCAGGGTCTACATTTTATACAATAATCATGTCAGGACAAAAGACTGAATATCTGAGCAATGTGTACCATCCACATATGCCTCCAATGTAGAAAAGCTGGGATTCCCAGTGTGGGCCCCTAAATGGAATTGATGACAAAGTGCTTCCCCACATACAAGCACACCTTGAGTAACAGGCTGCAAAGTAGCTGAACTGTCCGAACAACAGCTAACACTTAGGGTGCTTTTTGGATTACAACTAAAGGCCCCAGGATACAATCTGAATAAAGAGACCCTTGCTTTCATATCAATCCACTTTCTATTCCAGTGACTTGGTGTTATTCAATCTAATACTGCCTGTATGCACATATGTATTTATGCAAGTACAATGCAGCCAAGGTCAAGCCACATGATAACACCTTACTGTAAATCTCTTTATCATAGAAGCAAGGGATTCAGTACACCCATCTCCCCGCCTCTGAGTTCTCTTCACCCAAAGTAAGGTAAGCCCAGCATATTGTCAATTGCTTTGCGATTCTTTTCTAGCTACTACAAGAGTTTTATGTGAATTGTGAGGGATTCCTGTTTCAGTTTATTAGAAAAAGAGGGCACTGGGGATTGACAGAAAGGAGATGAGGCTGATAGGGAAGCAAGATTAGAGGTTTTGGAGAGAAGATTTGCAGATAGGAGGAAGCTGAGCCCAGGTCAATCTGGGCTTTCACTTTCAGCAGGGAAGACAAGCGAGGGGCATCTGCTAAGCCTTGGGTACTGAAGCTATTCCACATCTCTGAAGCCACCGCAGGCCCCCGGAATCAGAAGTCAGGACCCTGAGTCCAAAACCAGAGAGGGATGGGATGGACAGTCAGACACAGGAGAAACCTCATTATCATGTATCTGCAATGAGGCAAATGGGACTTACAAGCAGCTCCCTCAGATGATGAGGAGGAGAGACTAGACATTTCCAATGGACTCAGGACGGTTCTCGGAATCTGAGTCATATGGGATCCATTTTTATTTATTTAAGATGTGTAAGATAAAATTTTTACATCCTATATTTAATGTGCTACCTTCATTTTTATTTTAATTAACACTTAAGAATTGTCACGGGCTAACTGATGGTGAGGCCCAAATCCCACTTTTCCCAATTAGTGAATTCTCCAACAGGGATTCCAGGCACCTGGCTCTCTCGTGACCCCAATCTCATGGACTGTTGTCACCAAGGGCCATGTGGCAGACCCATGACAGCCTCTGAGAATATAATGAAGTGAGACCTGGAAGTTCCTTCTCTTTTTCTTTATTCATTAGCATGTTATTCACATTTTATATGTTTAATGCGTTCTGATCTGAGCCATGGAGGGCTCCCTTCCCTCTCTTCAAAACTCTCCTGGCAGGGTGCTAGGCAGCCACCTGTCTGCCAGGGCCCGCCCATTATTCGGCAGTGGGTGACAAAAGCACAACTCGTGGGGCGCCTGGGTGGCTCAGTCATTAAGCATCTGCCTTCGGCTCAGGTCATGACCCCAGGGTCCTGGGATCGAGCCCCACATCGGGCTCCCTGCTCAGCGGGAAGCCTGCTTCTCCCTCTCCCACTCCCCCTGCTTATGTTCCTGCTCTCAATATCTCTTTCTGTCAAATAAATAAATAAAATCTTAAAAAAAAAAAAAAAAAGCACAACGCATGTCTCAAGCCCATGAAGCAAAGGAGGCCCTTCCCTTACTTCATGAAATTGTGAAACGGGTATAAATTTTACGAAGGTGTACTGAAAACACACAAACAAATAACAAGGTGTCCTGTCAGCATGATGCAGTTTCAAAACAGAATACTAGGAACCAAAACATCCAAGGCATGAGGCAAAATATCTCCTAAATCCGCCTGAGAAAATACTCCCTGACCAGACACCAGAGCGTGTGGGCCCAGAGTGCTGCTCATCTCCAGGGGCATCTGCTGCTTACCTGCAGCTACGGAGAGGGCCCTACGAATGGCGCTCCCTGGGGGGCACAGTACACTGGCTCTAGCGCCTCAGGTGGGTGCCGTTGCCTCAAAAGATGAGCAAAGAGGGGCCGGGCTTCACCTCCTGTGTCACGCCAGATCTGATACAGTGGATATTTGGCAAATATGCACGTGTTTGCTTTGATCTGTACGTCTGTCCTATTTCTTCCCTTTCTGTTCTAATTCCAAGGTTTCAGACCCTAACTCCAAAGGCTCAGAAGGCATTTTACAAATGTAACGACTTAAAAAGTTGGTTTTAAAAAAAATCCCTTGAAAGCAATTAACGTTACCACTGAATTACCTGTGCGTGCTTTGAGACCCAGTGACGGAGGACATTCAGGACTCGATTGGTGGCTGTTCTCCGAATAATAAACTCTTTGTCGCATGTCCTCTCAGTGTTGTTAAATCCTTAGGAGGAGAATAAACACACACATGTCGTTAAAGCCAATCCCCAGGAATCTGGAAAAGGTCACGTATGTTAGGACATGGGTTAACGGACACTCACAAATACACACCTTGGCAGGTGGCTTCAGAATGTGGTGAATTCTGCTTACTTACCTGTTATACCCTCAGCTGTGAGGCTACCACATAGATAACAGGTGCAATTAAATGAATAATGTGCACACATTTATTAAAGGCCACTGATTAAAGCTAAAGCTGATCTAATAACATTTCCATTTATGCGTGCCTTGTTCTAGAACATAAAGCCAAGAAAGTTTTAACAAAATATTTAAGTGAACATTAGTTGTACTTTTGTCCCAAAGTCATTATACAACCAACAATATTTTCAATAGTTAGATGGAGAGGCCCATACCTAGGCTCATAGATGATACAAATATCTTATTATGCACCCATGTATTGAGAAGCAGGATAGCATAGTGTTTAAGAACACGAACTCCACAGTCAGACTATCTGGGTCCAAATCCCTGTTGTCCTACCCTGGCAAGTTACAGCACCTCTCTGTAACTGGTTTCCTTGTGTCCTGCAGGGGCTAATGCGTACCTACCTCACAGAGTTGTTACAGAGATTAAGTTAGTTAATACATGTTATAAGCATTTAGAATGACACCTGGAACAATAGTGAGAGCTCAATAAATGCTAGCGATTATTACACTTCAGTACTGGTTGATCGTCTCTGGTTCCCCTCTGTGCCAATGTAGGTCTCGGTCTTGACCACCTTTTCACTATGAAGAAACTATTTTAAATTTTTTTCTATTGAGTCTCCATTTTAAAAGATTTTACCTTCCAATCATAATTAAGTGACATATTTCTTTTAAAAATGAATGCAAGCCTTATATAACTTCACTGGCAAACTTCCTGAAAGTTGTCTAAACTCACTTATTCCGTTTCCTCATCTTCTACATGCTCTACATCCTACTCACCCCATCCTACCAACAAAACAGCTCCTGTTAAGGTCACTAGTAACCTGCATGTCTCCATATCCAATAGATATCCATCATCTCTCCATTGGAAAGCTCATCTGATAAACACTTATAAGCAAATCCTCATGTATTTATAACCCCAGATCTCTTCTCTGGGCTCTGGATCCATATATCCAATTGCTTCTTGATATTTTCCTCTTAGATGTTTCAAAAACCTCAAACCCAATCTGTATAAAAGAAAAAGCCATGGCCTTTCCACTAATCCTTGTCCTTATCCAGTGGTTCCAATTTCACTAAAGGAACATCACTAGCCATCCAGTTATATAAGCCAGAAACTCTGTTTCTTCCTGATAATTTTATCTGCTAAGTAAATCTCAAATCTGTCCATACCTTCATGTCTACAAACCCAAAATTGAAGTTGAGCTGCCAGCAACTCTCAATCTGGTCTACTGACAATCGTCTTGTCATTCTTGCTTTCTCAAATCCGTTCTCCTCTCTAAAGTGAGAAAGATCTTTTCAAAGGCCAAATTATATGTGTCATTCCCTGGTTTAAAGCCCTTCAATAGAACTTATGATAAACAGAAAAGCTCCTTAACACAGCCCACAGGTCCTCCATGCTTTGACTCCTAGCTCCCTCTCAGCCTTTTCTGGAACCATATTCTTCTCACTTCTCCCCTTCATCTCACCACCCTTCTTTTAGTCCTTCATCCTCACCCCAGGGCCTTTGCACATACTGTGCTGCATCTGGCACAATTATCACTCCCCTTTTCACTCAGTGGAAGCTATTCTTGTTTATTTCACTTCCCCAATTAAGCCCTTCCTGGCCTGAGCTGAATGAATCATCACATCTCACAGCACCATATGCATGTTTGCTTTCTGGCACTTGTTCCATTTACAATTTCACATTTATTTACGTAGACGGGGATCGGGTATGTTTTTGCTGAGCACAATGAGCACATACCTGGCATGTAGCAATGCTGTACACAATATATATTTGCTGAATAAATGAATGAAAGCCTGGATAGTGGGAATTTACTAACTATTGAATGTGATTTGAAGGTAAAGATGATAGAGTGAAAGAGTAAACGAATAGTCCTCAGACTCTATGAATTGAGTTAGACCAAAAAAATCTATGAACTTCTTAAGGGCAGAGGCCCCTTTTGCATACTGCTCTTTGGATGTGGACAGGCCTCTTCGACCCTCTAGCAGACAACCATCAGAGGATCATGATGACGTGCTCTTGGCAGAATAGATCTCTTTTAAAAAAAATCTTTTGCTATTAAAAGCTTAAAAATTCTGGGTATAATAAATGTCTTTTAAAATGCATAGCTGAGTTCTCAAGAAAATAAGGAATTTTCCAGGGTCAAACTCACAGGGACCTGAAAACCAGAACCAAGCCTCCGAACTGATGCTAGCAGCCCCAAGAAGAGAGCAGCTCACCAGCCTCGGTAACACAGGATTTGGACTGTAAATCCATGTGGTTCGGAAGAAGCCCCAGGGCCTTCGTGAAGTATGGGTGAGAGAGGATGTGAGGGCGATCTGGCTGCGACAGCTGTCACCCCATTGATCGCCAGGGTTGATTCGGCTGATCTGGCTGGCTAGGCGGGTGTCCCCTTCCTCCCTCACCGCTCCATGTGCGTCCCTCCCGAAGCTGCGCGCTCAGTCGAAGAGGACGACCTTCCCCGATAGAGGAGGACTGTTCTTCGGTCAAGGGTATACGAGTAGCTGCGCTCCCCTGCTGGAACCTCCAAACAAGCTCTCAAGTATGGGTGAGAGAGTGGGAACTGAGACTCCCACATAAAGCTGGAACTCGCAAAAGACCAGTCCCTCTGTGAAGAGCAGACTGGGGGAAAGTGCTCCAAGGGCACAAGGAGACAGTGAAGAAGCTTGTCTGTCTCAGCCTGAATCTCTGTGAATATGGGGGGAAAAATCCTCCCTGAGAATTGATAGCCACAGGCCCACTTCATGTAGGTTTGAAGCTCAGATTAAGCCACTGCTGGATGGTCTGTCCCTCTAAATGAGAAGCTAAAAAGTGGCCCAGGCCAGTGATAATCCCGGGACCCCTGACAAAAGTATACACAAAACCTCTCTGGAGGGGCAGAAACTCAACCTCAGCCTGTACTGGACACCACCAAAACAAAATAAAACAAAACAAAGAAACAGCTCCAAAGAAAAACTCACAATCCCAAATCACAATACACTCAAACTGTCTGCCATGAACAAGGATCAGTAGACACAGGGACGAGGAATGCCCCACCCCGCCCCTCCACCACTACCAAGAATTCCAGGTACCAGAACTATTAGATAGATCCAGTTCAAACTAAAAATGTTTACAAAGACTACTGATATGAAAGTGGGAACTGAAAACATGATAAAAGAATAAAAAGATTTTAAAGTCAGATTTTACAAGAACCATATAACACTTCTTCAAAGCTGATAAAATTATTCTTTCAATTATTGTTAAAAAAAATAGAAGAGTCGAAATCGAAAACTCAGGGACAGATAAACACTGATTAGACAGACCCCACTGAATAAACAAACAATAAACTGGAAAGAGATTTAAAAAACAGACTTCAGGGGCGCCTGGGTGGCTCAGTCGTTAAGCGTCTGCCTTCGGCTCAGGTCATGATCCCGGGGTCCTAGGATCAAGCCTCGCATCAGGCTCCCTGCTCGGCGGGAAGCCTGCTTCTCCCTCTCCCACTCCCCCCTGCTTGTGTTTCCTCTCTCGCTGTGTCTCTCTCTGTCAAATAAATAAATAAAATCTTAAAAAAAAAAAAACAGACTTCAGAAAAGTGCTCAAATGCAGTACAAAGAGTTTAAGAGCGAAAACAGAAAAAAAGGTATTAAAAGACATGAGGAAAGAATTAGAAGTTCCAACAAAAAATCAGAAGGTCAATATAGGAAAATAATTTTTTTGACTTGATGGAAAACATGAATCTTTAGGCTCAGGAATTGCAATGAATCCCAAGCAGGATAAATAAAATGAAAGCCACACCTAGAAAAACTGCAAAATGATGGAACTCCAAGACAAAGATAACTTTGAAGCAACTGGTGAGGATATATTTATGATCTGTAAAGGAAAGGCAGATGAAAAGGATAGAAAATGGTATGGGGAATGGGGTAAGTAGACGAGAAGGCTCAAATCAACCAAATTAGAGTAGAGACTTCGACTGGAGTGAGAGCTGGGGAATAATAAGGCACCATCATTTTGCCAGAGGATGGAAGTCAAAAGCTCTTGGAACACTGAAAAAGGGTAATGAGACTGAGTCCCCCACCTGCACATATAAGTATAAGGATGGCCAATCGGTGAGATGAGAATAGAAGATGGGAGTGAGAAATGGACAGAAAGATAAAAATCAAAGTGAAATATTAAGAAAGAAAAGCAATTTTAACAGAGCTGCTACTCCTTTAATGTATTTTGGAAAAAGCATCTATCACTACTTATCTCTGCATCTGCATCAGGGGTAGGTGGCAGGGGAGTTTTATTTTGAAAGAAAGGCAAGGAACACTCTTCTGCTCTCCAAGTTATTTCGTGTCACACATTAAAAGGCCACTTAAGGGGTTTTCTTTATCAAATTTCCAATATTTCCATAAATTCAAATCTCAACCTCTCTTACCATTTAGATTAGGATTTGATTATACGGCTTGGATGTTCTTCATAACTCCTTCTAGTAACCATGTTATTTATCTTTTCTGTGGCGATCACAGCTCTGTAAGTTCTCACTATCTCTGCTGCTCAAAGTACATCACCTGCTGCCACTTGCAGGACTCAACATGCTCTTGGAAAGTGACCGGGTACTCACTTAAGCGATCCCCAACCATGCGCACTCAGTGCGGCTGGGACAATCCACAGCTGGTAGGAAAGGTACTAAGATAGCAGGAGCAGCCTTCCAAGTGCTGCAGGAACGCTGAGAACCAGGGAGGGAAGGCTTCAAAGACACACATTCCACTGCACCCTCACAAGGCTCGCCATCCCTATACGGCTCCAAGATGGACAAGAAGTAAAGTCCAGAGCAAATCACTTCAC